AATTTTTTGTAGTTTTAGTAGAGACGGGGTTTCACCGTGTTGACCAGGATGGTCTCAATCTCTTGACCTCGTGATCCACCCGCCTCGGCCTCCCAAAGTGCTGGGATTACAGGCGTGAGCTTTCACAATAGCTGAGAGGCAGAATCAACCTCAGTGTCCTTCAGTGGATGAACAGATGGAAACTGCAGTGCTGTACGCAGTGGAATACTATGCAGCCATCAAAAAGGATGGACTGACATTTGCAGCAACATGGATGGAACTGGAGGTCTTCATGTTAAGTGAAGAAAGCCAGGCGTAGAAAGACAGACCTCACATTTTCTCATTCATCTGGGGGAGCTAAAAACGTTGATGTCAGGGAGGTAGAGAGTGTCATAGAACCGGTTTATCTGTTCATTATTAATGTTCATTTCTGGTAAGGGGATTTCCGTCTGCCAAACCCCACTAGCCAGCATTGTTACAACATCTTTCGTTCATTCTCTTTTCCTGTTCATTCAGCAGATGTTCCTTGAGTAGCTGCTGTGTAGGGGATATAGTGGTGACAAGCTGTTGTCCTTTTTAGCAACATACGTTCATTCTACAAGCAAAAGAGGTTAAATATCAGTGACCCTTCCTGTGTGCCTTCTAATATTTACTCCTGGCTTATATTTGCTTCATCCAGGCCTATTCTTTAAAAGCTACACAGTTATAAAACCTGTTTTCCTAACTTAAGGGATCATAAACAAGTGTCTAAGTAATCACCAAGATCGTTCCCAACCCCCCGAGTCCCATGTGCCACGTCCCCCGTTCTGTTAACACTGAGGCATTGGAGAGGCCGCCTTGCTCTGCCCTGCCTGCTAGGTGCTCAGCCCCGCGGTCGAGGTTTCGTGAGCGCCAGGTCACCTCCTTAGCTTTCCTAACATTATGTCCCAGGCATGGGGCTCTAGGGTCACAGGTTGGCTGGTTTTTCAGATTTTCCTGACCGTCCTCCCCTCCGTGAGCTCCGCAGTCGCCAGTCCTCACCGTGTGCACTTCTCACTGTCGGCTGGGCCTGCAAGCTCTCCGTGCTCGCCCTCATCTGCCCACACGCGGCTGGTGTTGTCTTCATTTCCTGCCTGTCATGCAAGCGGTTGTTTTATGATTTTCTTTTTAATTTTTGTGGGTACACAATAGGTGGATATATTTGTGGGGTACGTGAGATGTTTTGGTACAGACATGCAATGCGTCATGTCATGTCATGCAAAGTGTGGGGTGTCCCTCCTCTCAAGCCTTTATCCTCTGTGTTACAAACAACCCAAGCATGCCCCTTTACTTACTTCTAAACGTACAACTAAATGTATTTTCGTTTTGGTTTCTGCCTTTGATGTTACGTCTGGAAAGACATCCCCAACTACAAAATGATGTAAACTACATTATGCTAGATTTTCTTCTGATTCCTCTGTGGTAAATAATCAAATTGAATAGAAATCCACGAGCTGATGCCGGAAAAGGTGACAGAAGAACTCGTATCGGGGGGCGGAAACGAACCCCGAATTGTGTTTCCGTGTGACAGAGGAAGAACTCGTATCGGGGGGCGGAAACGAACCCGAATTGTGCTTCCGTGTGACAGAGGAAGAACTCGTATCGGGGGGCGGAAACGAACCCGAATTGTGCTTCCGTGCCGCGGCACGTGCTGAGCTCTCACCCCTCATCGCCCTCCCACTTGTTCCACTGCGTGTACGCTCGCACATCGGAATGCAGCGCAGGCCGCCACAGGTGTTTTCACTGCTGCTGTTCTTGGTGGGTACTGCTGATGTTTGGCCATGACCCACTGTGACGGTCCTTGTGTGTTCTGTCCGCAGACGAGTTTGGCGCACCGACTTGTGGCGCGAGAAGGCTCGGCTGCTCCGCTTCCCCTCTACACGTCGCCCTCCCTGCCCAACATCACGCTGGGCCTGCCTGCCACCGGCCCTTCCGCTGTAAGTCACCCCCGGGGGTCCCTGTGGCGTGGGGTGGCGGTGGTGGGTCCTTCCTCCTGAGCATCCCTGGCTGTGCTTTCCAGGGCGCGGCGGGCCAGCAGGACGCCGAGAGACTTGCCCTCCCCGCCCTCCAGCAGAGGCTGTCCCTTTTCCCGGGCACCCACCTCACTCCCTACCTGAGCACCTCGCCCTTGGAGCGGGATGGAGGCGCAGCGCACAGCCCTCTCCTGCAGCACATGGTCCTACTGGAGCAGCCCTCGGCACAAGCGCCCCTCGTCACAGGTGAGCACAGGTGGGCTCGGCCGCTGTCAGGCTCTGAGGCTGCCCCCTCTCCGGATGGTGCCCGGCCCTCGCCCACCTTTGGAGGAGACAGAAAGGCACGCCTGCCCCACCCCGCAGTTCCCAAACACACATCCCTGTCATGTCATGTAGCCACCGTGGCTGCAACGCATCCACGCCTCCCTCCCAGAGTCCGGTAGACGGAGTGAAAACAAGTCACTGCCCCTTTCTCACCTCTCGTGAGAGGTCACTCACTGGCTCTTCCGATTTGCGTTTCTGACTGGGCCACGCTGAGCCAGTGCTGCAAGCCCGGAACCGACTCCTGTGGTCAGTTTCTGTTACTGGAACTTTTTTCAAATGTGCCCCGTCTCGGGGGTGGCCCGAGCTCGGAAGTTTTTCTACATTTAGAAAAATACAATTCAGAGAAAAATAAGAACTTCCTTATGAAATTGCATAGCATCAGCAGTGTGAAAGTGTCACTGCAGAAATGAGGGTGCCCCGGCTGGCGCAGAGCCTCACACCTGTAATCCCAGCACTTCGGGAGGCCGAGGCAGGTGGATTGCCTGAGATCAGGAGTTCGAGACCAGCCTGGCCAACGTGGTGAAACCCCATCCCTACTAAAAATACAGAAATCAGTCGGGCATAGTGGCAGGTGCCTGTATCTTAGCTACTCATGAGGCTGAGGTAGGAGAATAGCTTGAACTGGAGAGGTGGAGGTTGCAGTTGGCCGAGATTGTGCCACTGCACTCCAGCCTGGGTGACAGAGCAAGACTCCGTCTCAGAAGAAATGAGGGAGCACCTACCCCCTTGCTGTGCGGGTCATCATTGTACATCTTCATAGCTTTACGTTCGGCTTCCTGGAAATCTCTTGTTCCTGGTGAAAAGCTAAATTAATCTCAGAGCTGCACCTGTGAAACTCTGGTAGTGAACTTGGTGAAAACTCAGGAGCTTGGTGTGTTGTTGGAGGCTGCGCTGCAGGGTGCGCGGGGCTGGGGGCTGGCTCGGGCGGGCCTGGGCCTCTGGTGTGACTGGTGTGGGGGATTTCGGTGTTTTCTTGCTTTGTGCTGCCCATGTGTTGAGACAGAGAGGATCCCTCCTTATTCCTGCTTCACCGGAAGCCGCAAGGGGCCACCTTTGTTTTCTGCCTGGGCCCTTTTGCTTGATTCTCCAGAAGCTCAAATTCGTGCCCCTGCCCTGTTCACAGCAAAGGAACCAGTGTCGTAACCAGGTAGGGGCAGCCCTCACGGCACCTCTCCGCGCCCGGGCCACGGTGGCAGGCACGGGGGTCTGTCTGGAGGAATTTCTCTGAGATCGCGTCTGAGTCTCTTAGATGCTCCAGATCAGCTAGCCTGAGGTTGGGTGGTAAAGGCCACCTGAGTTTCGCTCTCATATCTTTTAAAAATGTGAAATATGCCTGCTGCTTCAGGATTCCTGGGATTCACTTCGTCAGAGGTATTTGTTATACGTGGTTAGGTAACGTGCGTAGTCTTGTGTATCAGGTTCTGGGAAAACTGCCTTGTTTTGTAGAAGCCGAATGACGGCTCTGCGTGGATCTCCCCTCTCCGAGACACGTGCTGAGCTCGGCATTGCTTCCTCCCTGTGCGGTCAGTCGTCTTGTGCTCAAAGGTGCGGCTTGCTCACTTGCTGACTGTCCGTGGTGCCCTTCCAGGCTCTGTGGCATCAGGGGGTGCCCATGCATGGCTGCCCAGCTAGCTCTGGCCTTGCCCTACACCTGTGCCCAGCCAGCCCCTCCAGTTCTGCCCACCACCTCCGAAACTCCGCAAGCCCCGTCTCTCCTGCAGGGGCCCCCGGGTTGCCAGCGGCTCGTCCCGCCAGCACTCTGGCTGGGAGCCTCCAAGCCAGCATCTCACGTGCAGCGTCGTGCAGCCGCACAGATGCTCCGTCCCAGCCTTCTCCTGCTCTATGACCCGGGAAGCCACTTATGCTCTGTGGGCCTTGTTTTTCCATCTTGGAAGTGGGCGCACTAAGGGGTCAGCCCTGGTGTGCCTGATGAGGTCTCAGTGGGCTGTGCACTCACGTGCCCTGCAGGTGTGGGTGTTGTTGTGATCGTTGCCTTGTTCTTCTTAACCTGCCACCTCCCACGCTGGCTCATGCCCCCAGCCAGCCCCTGTTCGTCTTCTCAGTGCCTGGGGGCACTCCCTCAGCCCCGACATAAGCAGGGCCCTGATTTGGAACCCACTGGGACTGCCCCATCCTCTCGTGGAAAGAAGCCTCCTGCACAGGTTCCCGCCCTCCAGTGTGTCCTCCTGCAGCCAGCAGACTCTCCTGGAAGGCCTGGCGGCCCCCACGCTGCCTGGAGCATACCAGCCGGGTCAGGAGCCGCCAGCCATGAGGAGCCGTGAAACTGAAATAAAAAGAGAAAGTCAGAATTGGAATTCACATTCTCAGTGCCGTGTGGACCACATCCGGTGCACGGCCGCCGCACTGAATGTCCTCCTTGTCACAGAAGCCCTGGCAGGGTGGCGCAAACCTGGGGTGAAGTCACAGTGTGTCAGCAGGAAGCCCGGCCTTGCTCCAGGAGCCTCACCGCTCCTCCCCAGTCCGGCACGGCAGCCAGGCCGGGGGGCACAACGCTGGACCAGGCCGTAGCCGCAGTCCTCAGCCCGCTCCTGGCACCGGGGCCTTTTCCCGTTGGCTGTGGTTCCTCCACCCCCTCATCCCAGGCCTCAGTCCGTGCCCCTGTCCTGCCTCATCGGCTCCTTCCCTGGACCACGCTGACTCTTCGTTTCCGTGTTCGGTCCTTTCCCACAGTTCTTCACCAGCTCCTGCCTGAGCTGGTCTCCTGGACAGCATGCCTGTGTTTTCCTAGCCCACAGACAGACCCACCTTCCCGCTGGTAATCGTGGTGCACAGGCCCATAGGATATCAGAGTTGGGACAACCCTCCGGTCACAAACGCTTTGAAACAGGCCTCTGTGGGTGAGGTCACTGGTGGAGACCGGAGGGGTGAGCATGGTCCAGGGTCTCCCGGAGCTGCCTCCTATGCACCACACACCTCCAGTCGGCCCTTTCCGCCCTGCTCCGGACAGCCGCTTGCCACTGTCACAGACTCAGTGTGACTCTCCTATGTCCCTGCTTATGTGCTGCTCTAGTGCGGCACTCCGCAGATGGCCATTGTGGACTCAGATCTCTGCAGAGTGGCCGCTGCATTAGGAGATTAGTGTCTGCGTAACTAGCCGAGGCAGGGAGTGGAGCTCAGGAGCCCACCGTGGGCGAGAAGGAAAGTGCATATGCAGAGCCCTGTGCTGCTGCTTTTAGGGCGCGGAACTGTGGGTCTGCTCGTGGCCTGGGCAGCCCAGCCGATTCCTTTGTGATGTCCGTGTGGCTGAGAAGCAGGTTGTTGAGAACCATGTAACCTGCTGTCAGGACCCAAGAGACAGGGCCCCCCAAGACCCAGGAGGAGCAGGCGTTTGGAGGAGAAGGCTGGAGACCTGGGCTGTGCAGCAGGTGGGCGTGGGGAAGGCTTTCTAGAGAAGGGGTGTCAGAGCTGAGATCTCACAGTAGGAGCCCGCAGGCAGAGAGGCGGGAGAAAGGCCCAGGTCGAGGGAGCATGTGCCTGCTGGAGGCGGCCTTGTCACAGATCTTTCTAGCCTCCTGACCACACACTCAGAGCATGCCGCCAGCGTCTTAAGGCTACTGCTTTCCTGAGCTGGCCGCGGAGATCCACTGTCCCACTGTCACAGGCTGAGTGGAGGGTGCCTCTGGCTTCTGTGTTAGTAATTGCATGCCACCGTTTAGGTCTGATCTCCCCTGAAAACAGCGAGTCCTAGGAGGGACTTGAGCACAGCTCGTTGTGGCTCATGTCCCGTCACTGGCACGTTAGGCTGTGGTCCTCGGCCCTGGCCTGGCCCCAGCTCCGTCCCCAGAAGCTCACAAAGATGCTGATTGGTCCAAGTGGGTTCAGAGCATGCGGACTGTGGCTCGGGCAGCCAGGATTGCAAACTGTGAGTTGGATCTAACTCTTGCCTGGCTTACTTCTCAATGGAAGGATTTTAAAGAATTTCACAGAAGCAGCAGTGGAGTACCCCAGACGGATGTTTGAGGACTTAGGCAGCCTGAACGGTTCATCGCGTGTGAACTCATCGCTCACACAGAATCCCACGGCATGAAGACCAGCTCTTCAACCCTGGGTCCGGATCTGGAGAGCAGCCCAGTCTTGTTGCTTCTTTTTTCTTGAGTCCCCACACCTGCTGGGCCGTGTCTAAATCAGAGTTTGCAAACTCTCTAACTAGTTTCAATATTGCTAGGCAGCGTATGCTAAACCCTAGACCCTGCTGGCTGGGTCCATTCCGGGCGCTCACTCAGGAGCTGTCCTTGCAGTGATTGTGATGGCGAGTTGGAGTGTGGGCTTCCAGAGGGGCCGGCCAGGGAGCACAGTTCAGGCACAGCCCCAGATCCCTCCAGGAGGAGCAGCCACAGGGACACGGCCCTCCAGCACCAGGAGCCAGGTCAGCTGTGGCTCCAGCACCTAGCATGGGGCGGGGCTTCTGCCAGTGCTCCGGGCAGGAAGGGCGGAAGCTGGGAACGCCCTGGCTAAGATGCCCAGTGGAGGGGCCCAGAGCAAGGGACCACTGGGGCCATAAGAGCCAGGCTCTGCCCCACACCCCTGCCCAGCAGCACGTAGCCAGCCCCTGCAATCAGGTCACTGACCACAGAATTGTATCCTGATGGACTGGGGTTTCATGCTGGAAAGCCCTTGACGGTATACCCTGAAGCCACGTCTTGGTCTGTCATCAGAAACTCTTGTTAATGATCTCAGGGATCCAAATTGGAAACCACCCAGCCAGCAGATAGCATCGCCACGCAGAGGTCAGGGCACCTCGTTTCAAGGATGCTCAGGGGTAGGCCGTCCGCGTGTGGGGCGACACTGGGTTTTGCTTCCCAGGAGGCAGCGGAGTGAAATTCTGAGTGGGCGAGAGAGGCTGAGAGAGAGGGAAGGGCTGGGCCCTGGGGGGTGGAACTAGAAAAGGAGCAGGGCCAGTCTGCACAGGGGTCTCTGCTCACGTCCATTCTGAAAATGAAGCCCTGTTCCCCTGGGGGCATAGGCCTATGTCCCCAGTGTAAAGGTGGTGGCCTGGGAAATACCTGGGACCATGCAGAGGGTGGGGGAGGCAGAGCTCTGGACAGGAAGGAGCTGGGGAGGACTGTGCCACCCTCACTCACACCGCTGGCTCGAGTGCTTGTTCCTGATCATGAATCCTATGAAGTTGGCCCCTCCTCCCCCCGCTTCCTCCCCTCCCCTACTTCCGCGCCGCCCACCCTCCCCCTGCTGCCACCTAGGGTCAGGCCAGGGCAGGGGACTGTGCAGCTCATCACCGACTCCACCCCTGACTGGTGTGCACACTGAAGCTCTGGGGAAAACAGCGCTAAGGAAAATGCGTTTCAGCTTCCCATTGCTTTCTGAGAAGAGACCTTTTCAGCAATTACGTAGCCTTTGTATCCCCTGAAGGCCGCTTTGTGTGGCTGACTTCCTTATTTCCTCCATGAAGTAGTTCAATCCCATGTAGTACCCACAACAACAATTGATAAATTCTGCAATGCCTTCCTTTTGGAGGGGCAGGGGGACAGAGTCTCATTCTGTCACCCAGGCTGGAGTGCCATGGTACAATCTCATCTCACTGCAACCTCCACCTCCCAGGTTCAAGCGATTCTCCTGCCTCAGCCTCCAAGTAGCAGGGATTACAGGCGTGTGCCGCCACACCCGGTTTTGCCATGTTGGCGAGGCTAGTTTGAAACTCCTGACCTCAGGTGATCTGGCCACCTTGGCCTCCAGAGTGCTGGGATTATGGACGTGAGCCACCGCACCCAGCCTGAAATCCCACCTTCAGGATGGTTTACTTTCTCTTTTTTTTTTTTTTTTAGCATTTTTAGGGAATGATTCTGAATGGATTTTTAGTTTTTCACTTTAATTTAGTAGCCAAATATTGATAATAAAATTTAAGAAAAGGTGTCTTTCAGGAAAGTGATGGGGTTGGTGGGAAGGGATGGTGGTTTGCAGAACACCAGGGAAGAACTCTTGGAAAGGTCGTGAACATCAGGCTTGTTGGGGGGGAGGTTGGTTCTGGGTGTGCTCTTTGTGTTTGCATATCACATAGTATTTCTTAAATTTAGAAAAGCTACCGCAAAGGCACTTAAGCACTGAGAAGCGTGGTTCTCACTGGGAGGCTTGGGCTCCACTAAACCTGACGGCACACCCAGCTGCCCGAAGAACCCCGGCATCAGTGTCCCTGGGGAGGGAAGGACAGGAGCTGCCACTTGCTGGCAGGGCCACCTTGGTGACTCTGGACATCCCTGGACCCTTGCAGCAGGTGTGTAGCCCCACCCAAGGGAAGGGGCAGCAGGTTGCCTCAGGCAGGTGCCAAGTTCCAAAGAATCCCCCGCCTCAGGGCCTCCAAGAGCTGGTGTGATCATTTCCTTTGTCATTTCACCCAGTCAGACGCCCTTGACCGGCTCAGGGTCACTTTTACCCCGAGCAGCATTGTTTAGTGTTTACCCCCCTCAAGTTACCAGGGGACAGATATTCATGGAGCAGGGGAGGTGGTTTGGTAAATCCTTTCATCCACAAAGCCATGGAAAAATGCTAAATTACCTAAACCAACAATTTGCAAACATATAGATATATAAATTTATAAATATTTATATAGAGTGATACAGATGGATAAAGGCACACAGAAGGGAGAAAATGTACTTGACTAGGTAGCATTTTAAATCAGGATTCAGATGCCAGTTACAGCAAGATCATCTCCTGTCAAAATGAATTCTTTTAATCAAAAAGCACAGGGTTGGTGAGGGTATGGTGAAGTGGGCATCCTTTGCTTAGCTGGCAGGGATGTTGGCAAAATCTTTTCTGAAAGGGGTTTTGATGGTATGCCTCCAGACTTTTTAAAGTGTTGATGCCATCTTTGCATAAAATCAGTGCTCAAAGAGACCCTTCAAATGACATGGACCCTAAGGACAGTTGTTTTTCCTCACAACTCAGGTAGTCTTCGGAAACAGGCTGGAGGCTCCCGTAACCATGGCAGGCTTTGTCTGCACACTGGTGCCCTCTCCCCGCCCACCGTGCCGTTCACATCAAAACCCGCCCTTTGCGGGCATGGCCCAGGAGCGATGGTGTGGTGGCCACTCTTGGGAACGGCTTCCTCTTTGAAACCTGCCCCACAGGACTCCTGATGCTCCCTGTACAGACCTGATTTTCAATGGAAAGTTGCCTCCAAATTATGGTTCCTGTGGTCGCAAAACACCAGCTCACGGCCCCTGGCCTCAGCTGGAAGGGGCCCAGTTAGCGAGCCAGCTCCGAGGCACCAGGGCAGAGCGCCCAGCTGGCGGGCACAGGGTGCGGTTGTCTCCATCACTTACTCAACAGCCCTCTCTCCCTCCTCTCTTCTTCCTCTTCCCCTCTGCTGTTTCTTCCTCCAATTATCTTCAGACTGGTATCTTTCAGGCCTGGGAGCTCTGCCCCTCCACGCACAGTCCCTGGTTGGTGCGGACCGGGTGTCCCCCTCCATCCACAAGCTGCGGCAGCACCGCCCACTGGGGCGGACTCAGTCAGCCCCGCTGCCCCAGAACGCCCAGGCCCTGCAGCACCTGGTCATCCAGCAGCAGCATCAGCAGTTTCTGGAGAAACATAAGCAGCAGTTCCAGCAGCAGCAACTGCACATGAACAAGGTGGGTTTGCTGGCTTGGTGCTCCCAGGCTCCGGAGCGGCTGTGTGCTGTGTGCTTCAGCCCCAGCCTTCAGCACTGGCCCCTTTCTGACCTTGAGGTAGGCCAGGAGGCAGAAAGAGGGAACCGGAGCAGCTGGTGCTCTGGCCCATGGAGCAGGGGCAGGGGCAGGGGGATGCTGCTGGGAGCCTGGGCTCAGGAGCAGTTCACCTGCAGCGGGATACGCAGGGCCAGCACCCTCCCCTGCCAGCCAGTGTGAGTCAACTTGGACGACGTCCTGCCCGTGGGGCCTCAGTGCCCACAAATGGAATCATCTGCTTGGGCAACACTTGTTTCTGGGGTTACCTAAGGCCATTTACTAAACATGTCTTTAAATAAACCAGCAGCCCACAGTGCCCATCTTCCAGGCATCCAGCCCATGCAGCTGTCTAAGTGTAAGCAGAGTGTACAGGGCCGGGGGGTGGGAGTGGTTGGAGTTGTACAGGTGCGGAACTGCAGCAGGAAGCTGAAGGGACACTGTCAGAGGTGGTGCTGGGCCCCGGCCAACCCACAGAGGTCAACGTAACCCACAGACATCTTGAAAGGCACTCAGATAAGTCCATTTTCAGAGGAGGCAGTAGGAAAGGTTAGTGCTGTGATGCTGGTTAATAGGAAACTGAAGTGCTGAGTACGTGTTCATCAAATGCTGGCGTGTGAAATAGCGCATCTTTAAGATACAAGATCCGTGAGCTGCTATGAAAATAGTCCAGCATTTCCTCAGAAGGTTGGACAGAGCCACCACGGGGCCCCGCAGCTCTGCTGCCAGAGATGAAAGCACGCATCTACACAAAAACTCAGGCAGACCTTCACGGTGACCTGGGGCCCTGTATCGGGCCGCTCTCACCCTGCTGTAGAGAAATACCTCAGACTGTGTGGTTCATAAGAAAAGAGGTCCCGTTGGCTCCTGGTTCTGCAGGCTGTAGATGAAGCTTGGTGCTGGCGTCTGCTTCTGGGGGGGACCTCAAGGAGACTTTCAATCATGGTGGGAGGGGGAGGGGGAGCGGGGGCATCACTTGGCAAGAGCAGGAGTGAGGGATGGGGAGGGGCAGGGGAGGGACCGCACACTTCCAACTGACCAGACCTCACAGAACCCACTCACTACAGTGAGGACAGCACCGGGGATGGTATTCAGGCATTCATGGCGTGTCCACCCCTACAATGCAGTCTCCTTCCGCCAGGCCCTTCCTCCAGTATTGGGGGTTAAATTCAGCAGGGACTGTGGACAGGGACACAGTTCTAAACCGTATCAGTCCTGATAGCTCTTGTCAGTCGTGATAGCCATGTCAATCACAATAACCACGTCAGCTGTGATAGCCACGTCAATCATGATAACCACGTCAGCTGTGATAGCCACGTCAGTCATAACCACGTCAGCCATGCTGGCCACGTCAGTCGCGATGGCCACGTCAGCCGCGATGGACACGTCAGTCGCAATAACCACGTCAGTCGCAATGGACACGTCAGCTGTGATGGCCATGTCAGTCGCGATAACCACGTCAGCTGTGATGGCCACGTCAGTCGCAATGGCCATGTCAAGCTGTGATGGCCACGTCAGTCGTGATGGCCATGTCAGCTGTGATGGCCACGTCAGTCATGATAGCCACATCAAGGGAGCAGCGCAGGCGTCCCTCCTGTGATGCATAGCTGCAGGTCGGCACACTGGAATGTCATTCAGCCACAAAGTGGAATGACACTGGCCCGCTGCAGCACGGGTCAGCCTTGAAAGCAGGGGGCCAGGTACCAGAGGCCACATGTGGCATGATTTCATGCCAACAAAACGTCCGGAAAAGACAGACCCACAGAGACAGGATGCAGATTCAGGGGTGCCGGGCCTGGGGTGCTACAGGCAGATGGGGAGCCTTGCCAGGGAAGCAGCATCTCTTTTTAGCAATGATGAAATTCTTCCAAAATCAGGCTATGGTGATGGCTGCGCAGTTCTGTGAATATACTAAAAACAACAAATGCTGTCATTTAAAAGTGTGAATCGGATGGTATGTGAATGACATCCCAACAAAGCTGTTACGAGGAAGAGAGAGGTGAGTTGATAGGAGGGGAGCGTCTGGGGTGACTTTCAGAAGGAGACGTTGAGAAGCCTCTGGCAGATTTGGAGACAGAATCATTTCCCTGTTGTGTCTCTGGTGAAAGTGCCTGCACACCCCGACTCTAACCTGCCTGTTACTCCCTGGGTTTCAGGACGTCCTGGGTGTCTGCCTGTCCAGAGGTTCGGGGTCTTCTGTGGTTTTCCTGAGGGTGAAAACTCGTGGTTAGGATTGGGAAGGAGACAGACTCTCCTAGCACAGATGGATGCGAGTTGGAAGGGGAAGTACCAGGATCCCCAGCAAGGGCAGAGGCAATGCTGTGGGAGAGAGCCCTCCACCCCCACACTGCCGCCTCCTCCAGCAGCCCTGGACTCCTGACACCATCAGCCCCTCCCACCTACCTGGTCCCAATTTCCTTCTCCAAAGCCCCAGGGTTCCAGCCCAGAAGAGCGGTGGGCTTAGCCCTCGCATTGGTCAAAGGGTCTGATTGCGTGGTGTCCAGGCCTGTGGGACTGACTCGGAGAAGGCCCCTGGGAGATGCCAGCTGGCTGTGGCCCACGTGCGTCTGAGCGTCTAAATCATTGCGGGCTGCAGGCTTATCACTGGGGAAACGGGCCCCTTGGGGCCACAGCCTGGCCCCGCTGCCCACTGGGCGCTAAAGAACAGGCGCACCCCTCCCACCCATGTGCCCCCCAGCTGCAGGCCCTCCTCACAAGACACAGGGAGCCAATCAGAAATGGGCGGGCCGCCCAGCAAATCCCTTCATTGGGCCGGGAAGGCACCTGCCAGGCGTCTTCACTCCCAGGTGTCAAAAGCACTTTCACATCCATCTTGCTAATGCCACTTGGGTTTGTTAATTTATTATGTCATTATCTGAGTGATGGGTAGGAGGTTTGAGGAAGACAGGAAACACCTATTCACATGCATTAGATTCTTGAATGATGTAGCAACCGGGTACTCTCACTGGAGTTTGTTCTGCCGTTGATTTACAGTAGCGAGTGACAGTTGATTGAAACGTTTAGACAGAGTTTTCCAGGGACGCCTTGCCTTTCCAGGTAAGACAAGGATCTTACCCAGCGCTGCCTGGCACTGACGTCTCTGCCCCTCCTCTTGGAGGATGTCGGTCCCAGGGGGCTCACTCCCTGAGGACATCGGCCCAGCTCTGGCAGCTGTGAGCCCTCCTGTCCCACAGGGCTGCTCTCTGCCCCTCCTTCAGCCTGTACCTCGGAGGGCAGTTGCTTTGGAGACGTCACTCTGAGAAACAGAAACAGAAGTGGCCTGCTCCTAGCCATGGTGTCCCCGCAGCCACATGCAGCCACTCTAGCTTTCCTGAGGCCGCAGCCCAGAGAGCTGGCTGAGAAAACTCGAGCAGGCAGACAGCATTGGCCCCGAGCTGGCTCGCCCTCCTCTCCGCAGCCTGTGGTCGGGATGATGGCGAGTGTTCTCCAACTGCGTCAGCCTCTGTTGCCCGTGCCCCCTGCCTTGGATGCAGTGGTGTTTAATAACGGTTTGTGGCATGAAGGAACTTTCTGAAGAGAGCACGCCATCAAGGACAGGTGGAGCGTGGAACTCTGCAGGCGAAACTGGCCCACCGTGCTGGCTGGCCATGCCCAGGCCCAGCCTCAGTCATGGCTGGTTTACATGCAGTGGGTGGTGTGTGTCCACCCGCTGGAGGCTTTTGTAGAGGTGCATTTTAGTAGAAAGCTCTCACTTTCTACTAAAAGAGGGCACCGGAAGGCGTCTTCCACCCGTGGAGCAAGAAGCCTTGTGCTCAAGGTGGTTCTTACAGCGATTTCTCAACTCCACACAAGAACCCGCCTCCTGCAGAGCGGAGGGCCTGCGTTCCTGGGAGTTGGCTGTGTTTCCCTTTAGCTTGACATCCTCAATGTTGAATATGAAAACTTGAACTCATATTTTGGGTGGTCTAATTATGAGTGTGTCCAATCGCTTTAAAATACTGGCAGTTTACCAGTTCGGTTTTGGCCCTGAACTCCGGTCTGACTTTTTAAAAATGTAATTATTCCAAATATGGAGGTGCATTTGTTCTTCCTGAATTGCTGGAAGCAGGCTCCCGGTGTTCCCAAGGTCTTCGGGCTGCACAGAGCTGCTTCAGTTGTTTGCCTGCGTCCAACTCGCCTCCCAAGCCAGCTCTGCAGGGCGGCCCCAGCCCAGCCAGTGAGACTCGGAGCTGAATGTCGAGAGAGAGAGAGAGAGAGAGGAAGCCTTTGTTTCCAGCTGTAGCCCAGGGAGGTGACCCACTCAGTGCCGGGGCAGGGGGCCTGGCCTGCGTCACAGAAGGCTCTGATGCAGTGCCACTGCTGAGGTGACGTTCTCCTCGGGCCCTGCCTCAGAGCCCTCGCCCGAGTCCCATGGTGTGGAGACAGTCCCTCCTCCAGGCCGAGGGGCATCCAGCAGTGGTGAACACTTCAGAGGCTTTGCCCTCGTAGAAGGGAGAAGAAATACCTGGGGATGTTGTCACTAAAGGACACTGAAGAGATGCAGCTCCGGGCAGCACCTGCCATCTGCAGCCAGCCAGAGAAGGGTCACCCAGGAGCCCTTGCAACAATGGGGAGGTCTGGTGACACACGGCACGGTAGGCACGGCTGCCAAAAGCCCCCAGCGGGCGGGCTAAGGGGCCACCTGAGCCCTGGAACAGTCCCCTGGAGAGAGGCTGACCCCGCCACCTCTGCCACCATTCATCTGCATAGGAGAAGGACATGGGGGATTTCCTGACCATGTTCTTCAAGTTTTCCTTTAGGCTTGAAATTTAAAGCTGGGCTCGATGGCTCACACCTGTAATCCCAGCCCTTCAAGAGGCCACGGCGGGTGGATCGCTTGAGCTCAAGAGTTCAAGACCAGCCTGTGCAACATGGTGAAACCCCATCTCTACGAAAAGACAAAAATTAGCCAGGCAAGGTGGTGCTTGCTTGTAGTCCCAGCTACTCAGGAGGCCGACGTGGGAGGATTGCCCGAGCCCTGGAGACAGAGGCTGCAGCGAGCCAAGATTGCATGACTGTACTCCAGCCTGGGCAGCAGAGCAAGACCCTGTCTCAAAAAAGAGAAATTTAAAGCAAAGCGTCAGAAGAAAAGTCTTGGAGCTTCTCTCTCCACCGAGCCCTCCCTGGGCCACCTCCTTTAAAAAGGAAACAGACCCTTTTCCTCGAGCAGCCTAGATTCTGTCACAGCCTGGCTTCCTGGGGGTGGTCGTTTACTGCAGGAACGCCCTCCCCTCTGCCCTCAGCTGCCTTGTCCGCCGCCCCACCCTGGAGAAGGGACCTGCTGCTGTGTCCCCCACGGGGCTGCTGCCCTCCAGCACTTCACCCACTTTACAATGGCCCCTGGGCCCTAAAGAAAGCCAGGCACTATTTCTGCTCACTGCTGGGACTGGGCAGCTCCATGGGGTCCCATCTAAGGTCCTAGTTTTCCTCCCTCACCCTCCCCCCATTTCCCTTCCCCACTCCTCCTCCTCCCCTTGTCCTTTCCTGGCATGGCACCCACTCTTCTGCTGGTCCCCTGGTCTCCTCTCCTTGTCTGTGTGTGTCTGTGCCTATGTGTATTTGTCTCTTTCTGTATGTATATGTATCTGCATGTCTACGTATATGTGTATCTGTGTCTCCATCTGTGCGTGCCTCTACGTGTATGTATCTGTGTGTGTCTATGTGTATGTATCTATGTATCTTTGTGTGTGTCTCTACATGTATGTATCTGTGTGTGTGTATCTCTACGTGTATGTATCTGTGTATCTGTGTGCGTGCCTCTACGTTTATGTATCTGTGTGTGTCTATGTGTATGTATCTATGTATCTTTGTGTGTGTCTCTACGTGTATGTATCTGTGTGTGTGTGTGTGTGTGTGTGTGTGTCTGTGTTTGAGCCTCTGTAGCCTCCCTAGCCTCCAGCACTGGTCTCTGAGGCCTCAGCCCTGCTGCATTTGGCTCCCCAGCTCCGCATGGTGCCTCTGTGCTCCCAGCTTTGACTTTGCCCCATCTGCTTACTGCCCGAGTCCTGATCTGTCTCCAAACCCCAGACTCGAATCTGCACCTTCTTGCTGGATTTCCCTGATGCTGGGATGCAGCTTCTCTGAGCCACCCCCACCAACCTCCCCGTCCCGAGGCCAGCACCTCCTCTGTGATAACCCTTCTCTGGCGCTTGGCTGGGAGCCCTGGTGTCTCCTGCTCGCTCCGCCATCCATGGGCGGCCTCCACTGCCACTCGGCTGAGCCTCTGCCGGGCCCTGCTGCCCGTGTGGGATTGCTTCTCTCCAGGCATCGCCCTGCCCTCGCACTGACTCGTTAGCACCTCCCTGTGGCACAGGCAGGACCATGCACCCCTCGGAGAAACCAGCAGCCTCTCCTGCCGGTCCACTGAGGAGAAAAGCCCTTAGGCACGTTCCACATGGGGATGGGTGAACTGTGCATCCTCAGACCCCTTGATATGGGGCTTTGGGATTGTGGGAGCGTTCTTTCACAGTCTGCAGAGGAACGCAGTTCAGTTTCTGCTTTCTTCTGAGAAACTCCCCGTGCGCCCTTCCTAGTCTGACTCCAGACCCCGCCTCCTCTCCTGAGCTTTCTTTGCCATTTACCACATCCCTCTCTCCCCTTACGCTCTCAGCTCCGGCCTTTGCTCTGTCACATCCATCCCTCTTCCGGCTCCCAGACAAGATGGGACAGCCCCATTGCCCAAAGCTGAGGAGCTGTCCTGGCCACCCTCTGTTCCCTCTGCATGTACACTCTGTCCCGGAGCCTAGAGCTGCTTCCTTTTTGGTGTCACAGAACACGGAAACCTGTCCTTTCTCCCATGCCACAGCCAGACGTGGGGCCTGCCTCACCCTTTCACCCTCTGGCTGGTCTCTCCGAAGCAGGACATGCGTCCAGAACGTGTACCTGCTTGTCCCCGGCCCCACCTCATCTCCGGCACCCTGCGTCCGTGCTCTCTGGCCTTGCACGCCGCAACCCTGCCAGCTCCTCACAGCTCCCAGAGAGCCCTGATGTCAGCCTTGCACCCCCTTCCACCTTGCCCCACTACCTGCACGCCCCTTGGATTTGTCCATCCTTTTAGCGAATGTGTGATGAGTAATTACTGTGCCCCATGGATGAGTCCGAAGTGGTCCCTGCCCTCATGGGAACTGCAGACTGTAGGAAAGATGGCTGCATGAATGGCAACCACAGGAAAACCAGAGGACTGTGACGGGGGCTGGAGGAGGGCACGGTGCCCCATCAGGAAGGTCAGCTGCCCTTCCTGGAAAAGGTGGCATGCACGGGAGGCCCATGGAGCCTCTCACAGTGGCTGGAGGAGGAAGGGAAGCAGCAGGCTGGAGGCGAGCATGGCATGAGGGGTGCAGAGCCAGCAGCACGGTGGGGAACAGGGTGGCAGGGAGGGAGGGAGGCTGCAGGGCAATACGGCCAGATGATGGAGGGGCTCTTCAGCAGAGGCAGAATGGTGGAAGAGCGCATGGGAGACTTTCAGCAGGGAAATGACCAGGTCTAGCTAGCTTATTTGAAAGCACGCCCTCACTGCCAGCTGCAGAAGAAGTGCAGAAGACGGTTCATGCTGGAAGGGGGTGCCTCCTGAGGGCCATGCTATCATCCAGGCGGGAGAGGCCAGGCGGGGCCAAAGCAGGAAAGGCAGGAGGTTGAGGCTGAAGGGAAGCAGCACGGTCCAGGGGCGTTTCTTGTGAGCAGTGCACAGGCAGCGCCTAGCAGATGGACGTGGCAGCTCGTAGTGTGACTCAACAGGTGGCCAGAGAGATTCAGTTGCCAAGAACGGGTCCTACAGGAGGGAGAGGCTTGGAAGAAGCTGCCTGGAGTTCGGGTTGGGCCCACTGTGCTGAGGCCCTTGGGCACTCTGGGCTGAGCTGGGGTGTCTGGCCGGCCCTGAGGTCTGGAAGTGAAGAGCGAGTGTGGCCCAGCACCACCTTTCGGAGTCACTGATACTTGGAATCCAGAATGGGGAAATGAACTGAGGAGCAGGAAACGAGCACCCACCCTTGTTCCCTGCTTGAGAGGGCAGGGAGGGAGACCGAGAAGCAACTGTGGGATCTAACAGGAAAAGAGATCCGGGAGCGTGTCGGGAGTCCACAGGAGGGAGGATGCCGAGGTCCCTAGGACCCCATAGCGGGGCAGGTCATGGAGCACCCGTGGAATCCTGCAGGAGGGGAGGTCATGGGGTCCCCAGGATTCAGCAGGGGAGGAGGTCATGGAGCATCCCCAGGATCCTGCAGGAGGGGAGCTCATGGCACATCAATGGGATCACACAAGAAGGGAGGTCCTGGCGCATGGCGGGGCCCTGCAGGAGAGGGGGCGTGTCAGTGGGATTGGGTGATGAGCATTGTGGACGTGAAGTCTTCTGCTGGGTGATGAGCTGTTTCTCTTAGCAGCCGTGGCTGTGAGGTCAGCACTGGCTTCTCCCTCTTCACACTCAGGCTCCCCTCTGCAAACTCATTTGAGTGCAACTGCTTTTCTGTGTCTCTGCGCCTGACGCAGAAGAGGTGCTTAGTAAACCCCAAATGCCCAGAGACCTTCTTCCCCAAGCCAGGTCAGCTTGACCCCGGGCTGGGGTCCTGCTAGGCATGATTTTCTCAACACCATGGATAGCACCCAAGTGTGTGCTGTGTGGGGAGATGAAGGCACCTGCTGGCCTGGGGCAGGGCACTGAGGTACCCTGAGTCCTTCGTTGTCTGCCCCAAGGGTGGGGTTTGCAGCACACCTTCTCCTGTCATGAGCTCAGAGTCCCCGGCTCTCTGTGCTTCATGTGCTACCTCTGCCTTGCAGATCATCCCCAAGCCAAGCGAGCCAGCCCGGCAGCCGGAGAGCCACCCCGAGGAGACGGAGGAAGAACTCCGTGAGCACCAGGCTCTGCTGGACGAGCCCTACCTGGACCGGCTGCCAGGGAAGGAGGCGCATGCACCAGGCGGCGTGCAGGTGAAGCAGGAGCCCATCGAGAGCGACGATGAAGAGGCAGAGCCCCCGCAGGAGGTGGAGCCAGGCCAGCGCCAGCCCAGTGAGCAGGAGCTGCTCTTCAGACAGGTGACCACAGGCGGGGAGCGCACGGTCCCTGGGCGGCATCTTTCTGTGTGGTGATCACGGGGGATGCGGGGTCCTTCCACTGTCGCTGTCCAGTGCCTCGCCTGTCTTGTCCTGGCCACTGAGGGAGGTTGATGTGGCTTCTGTTTGGTCCCAGCAGTTCCTGCGGATACAAGACGTTTGCCCACTGTGGGCGGTGACATCACTGCTTTCTAGCCATGCACAGGCCCCACAGAATGGGTTTCCTTCCTGTCTGTAGGGTATAAATGAACACAGAATCCATGTGTTAAGAGACAGGGCATGCTTTTTAAGGAAGTGAAGGAAATAGATGTATTAATTGATCAGAAAGGCAGGCAGGGTCTGATCAGAAGCCAAGACCTTTTGTGGTGCAGAAGTGCTAACAAGCAGCCCTGCAGATCCAGACAGACGGGTACAGTTGTGGTAGCCAGAGCCAGGAAGGCTTCAGGGCACTGACACCGAGGAACCAAACTCACAGGAGACTGATGAAGAAGGCCAGTGATTGACTGGTTAATTTCCAGGGAAACATAAAACTTCCAACTCAACAGAAATACCTAGGGCATTTGGGCAGCCTGCAGAGTACTGTACCTGCAGCCAGTGCGTCCTCAGGAAGGTGGCTTCCCCTCTGGGCGGGAAGTGAGCCTGGGGAGCCGTAGCTGTAGGTTTGATGTGTCCTCCAGCGGCGGAGCTGTGGCTTCGGCTGCAGGAGCCACTGGCTTTTCCTTCCCTTCTCGCTGGACTCCACGATGGCCGTGCCACTGAGTACCTCCCCTGCTTCCTGCCTGCCAGCTGTGTGGCCTGACGCTGTCTCCACCCCTGGCAGCATCTTGGAAGCCAGGAACAGGGCTCCTGGCAGTAAACCGTTTCCTTGAATTCTCAGCTACACTTCTTAAATGCTTGCCACTGAATGAATCTGTGTGGGTCCTTGAACCTGCAGCACCTAGACTGGAGTCCACCACACGTGAGGTCAGCTCACAGTGGTCTCCAGAAGCTTCCGGGTCGGGAACCTGTCTAGAGGCTGGCATTGGGTGCTATCTCTCCTTCTCATTCAGGGGGTGGCTGCTCTAATTTCGGGGGCTTCTTCATTAGCACCCCAGGCACTAAACACGACAAAGCCCAGCAGAACTAACGCTTGCTGAAGACAGAGAGCCCGGCCTCTCTGACACACATGGCGCCTCCCGGTGGACGCTTGTCCACAGGTCCTGTTTGACGGCCCAGCGTGGCGCTTCTTCCTGTGGTCGGGCCGTGATGAAGGAAGCAAGTCTGTCACTGGGACTGAGATTTGGTGTGCTGTTATTATGCTGTGAAGAAACTGGAAACTATTTACATTAATAATTTTTAGGGCTCGCTTCTCATAGATCAGCATTTACTTTGAAAAAAGAGGTTTGTTATATTCCAAGCGTGAGACGATTATTAGAAACACTTATTTTCTGTTCTCTCCAGAGAGTAATAGGCAGAACTCCTTATCAGGGAAATGTGGTAGCGCGTGGAGCAGCTTGCCACATTCAGGGAAGATGGGGTGTCTTCCAGTCAGCCTGCCGGGAGAATCGTTTATTAGCTGCTTGGAGCCTGCAGTAATCCCAGCTGAACTGGGTTAGCGGAATCCTGGGGGCCTGTGGGTGCCGGCTCCAGCTCCAGTTCCTCCTGCTGTCTTAGGGCTGCCCTGTGCCCTGCTCCTGGCTCTGATTCCTAAAGGCAGGACAGATCGGAGCCTGGCTGGGCAGCTCTGGCTTCCCCCAATGCTGGTGGCACAGGGCTGGGCTCTGCCTCTCACACAGGAGCTGGCATGTGGGTGCTTGGTTTTCCACATTCACAGGATTTGTTCATCAAAACCAAGGAGGCGCTGGCTTGCTTTGTGCCTTGGCCTGGGTGGCAGGTGGCTGGCTGTGCCCTCCCTCAGCTGCTGCCTGGGGAGAGGCTGGGCAGCTGTGGCCTTATCTCTGCCTCGCTCCCTCCTCTCCACTCTGCCTCATATGGGGATATGCACCTCAGCCTGTCCCCAGCATCCCTTGGGGTGTCCCACGCCTCTGGCTGAGTGCTCCCCACTGCGCGCGCGCGCACACACACACACACGGCGCCCCAGCCCCATTCCACCTCTCCAGAGAGGCGCATCCCACCAGCAGGCCTGCTCCTGGCCCCAAAGGCCCTGGGCGCCTGGAAGCTGATGGGCTGTTTCTGCTTTTAGCCTGCATGCCGTGTGTGGGATGTGAGACCAGGGAGGGGAGCGGCTGCAGATGAGGCCGAGTTAGCTCTTCCACATCTGAGTCTGTGGTGTGCTTTCTTACCCGAGTTTGGCATGCAGATTCAGTGCCCTTGGTCAAAAACACCCACAAACCCAACAAGAGGAGGGGCTTCGTGCCCATTTGCTGTATGTGTGTGGTGTAGCAGAGTGGGTGCTCCGGTCCCCACATCTGCATGGCCTTCACGGTTCCCCCAGCGAAGCCAGCGCGGGCCAGCCTGCCGCCCCGCAAGAGCCTCTCCACACCGTCCATGCCCTTGCTGCTGGGCCCTGCTCCCCTGCACCTGGTCCAGGCTGCTTCTGGCTCAGCACCTCCTCAGAGAAGCCCTCCTTGATACCCCAAACCGAGCCAGGCCCCCTGGACCCCCCTGGCTCAGCCATGTTACGCTGTTAATGAAGCCTGTGGCAGATCCCACGTGGACGGCCCGCTTTCCCTAGGGGGAGCCACGTGCTGGGAGGCAGAGCCCGTGCTGGCCGTGTTCTCGGCTCTGGGCCCAGTCAGGCTTCAGGGCACTCACAGGGAAGGCCAGTCCACGCAGCCGGCCTCGCAGCATCCTCGTGGCCCGTGTACAGCCTGTCCGTGGATGGGAGATGCGAGAGAAGGGCGCCGCTAGCCCTGCAGCCGCCAACACGGCCGTTTCTCCCCGCAGCAAGCTCTCCTGCTGGAGCAGCAGCGGATCCACCAGCTGAGGAACTACCAGGCATCCATGGAGGCCGCCGGCATCCCTGTGTCCTTCGGCGGGCACCGGCCTCTGTCCCGGGCACAGTCCTCACCGGCATCCGCCACCTTCCCCGTGTCTGCGCAGGAGTCCCCCGCAAAGCCGAGGTTCACGACAGGTAACAGGTGGCCTTCGCGCAGCCTGAGGCTACGATGCAGGCCACCGTGGGCACAGCCTGGGGGGCTGCCCCTGGCCCAGCTCTGCAGAGTCTGAGGGGCTGGGCGGGCACTGTCACGGGGCCCAGGGGCCACACTGGGTGGCGGGGACCACGCAGGCCAGTCCCGGAGGCCCTGCCCACCACACACTCAGTTCTGTTACTCTGCGGGCCTGTCACGAGCTCACTTGCCCACCTTCCCTGTCCCAGAGACCCGTGGTCTCCTCCAAGAACAGTCCCTAGCCCATGCCCATGGGGCTGTGAGGACCTGCAGCTTCTGGTCCAGCGTGGTAGGAATCTGGAGCCTGCGCCTCTGCACTTACACTCTCACACCGCCACGTCCACAGCGTTGGCTCTGACGCTCCAGGGACTTAGGGCCGTGAGGGGCCAGGGGGTCCATGATTACTCCAGAGCAGAAACACTGTGGGAGGCACATGCCTTCTGTGTCTGTGCCCTCCTCATACCATCCTCTCCCTGGGGAGGCCATCTGCCAGCCAGGGTCTCTGGTTTTCCCTGCATGGTACCTCACCAGAAGTCAGGAGGCAGTGAGGTGTCCAGCACGGCTGAGGAGGCAGGAGGGGCTGGGCCCTGGACGCGTCTGCCCAGAGCTGCCTGGAGCAAGGGAGGAGGCTGCCATCCTGGGTGCCCCGCCACCCAGCCACCTCTGCAGGGCATAGGAGGGAAGGAGGCTGGCTTCCGGCAGGGCTTGCCTCTGAGACAAGCAGGGAGGAAGGGGAGCCCTTCATGTTGTTTTGATCTAATAGTTTTTGTTAACGATGTACTAAGAAAAGTTCTATAAATACAGCATGGCTTCATTCTTCAGATAATTCTCATCCAGTGGCTTAGTTTCTGCACTCCACAAGGTTCTCACTTCAGGTCATAGAAGGATGCTATTCATATTCAGAGAAATATTTCCATAGTAGTTATTATCCAGCAAGGAAAATGCTGTTTCTCAGAAAGAAAACCGTGGAAGTCACAGGAGCAGCCGGGGACCCTCTCCACAAGTCCTGGGCAGCTGCCAGCAGTAAATGTGCTTTTGAACAAATGCAGCTCAGGCAAGGGGACCCCTGCCACTGCCACCAAGGTGGGAATTCTCCCACGACGCGCCCACCGTGGTTGGTCGCAGGACACTTCAAGACAGTCCCACTTAGCTGGTGTCCTTTCTTAGTTTGTCTTTATTACTTTTAAAGAATATATAAAACAGTGCACGTTCATTGTAAAATGAACACTGCAAAACAACTGTGATGGAGACGCGCAGAAAATACCGCCTGCCCGTAATCCCACTCCCAGTGGCAGCAGGTCGTGTTTGGTTTAATCTTCCGGATCCACGTCTATGCGTGGCCAGATGGACGGATAGACGGAAACATCATTTATTTCACAGGCACGGGCTCTGTTGTGTCTGAGGCTTCCCATGGGTACCTCAACCTCTCAGCCGTCTTCCTCTGTCCGCGCATAGCGACACGGCGGGTTCCTTAGCCACCCTGAGCTGCGTGGACCTTGCTGCTTCTCCATCTCTCTGCACTCCACCTTCTCTGTCTGTAGAGACAGTAAAGGGGGTGTCTGCCTCATAGGGTCCAGCCGTGTGCTCAGTAAATGTCAGCACACGTGACCTTGTCGTGATGATTCCACTGAAGGGCAGTCCCCATTCCTCATACGCGTGAGCACCTGGTTGTTTATGCACACACACGTCTGTTTCAGCGGGGCACACACGTCTGTGTTTCACAGGACACACACATCTATTTCATGGGGGCATACACGTCTGTGTTTCATGGGACACACATCTATTTCATGGGGGCACACACATCTGTGTTTCACGGGACACATCTATTTCATGGGGGTACACACGTCTGTTTCACGGGACATCTATTTCATGGGGGCACACACGTCTGTTTCACGGGACACGCACATCTATTTCATGGGGGCACACACGTCTGTTTCACGGGACACGCACATCTATTTCATGGGGGCACACACGTCTGTGTTTCACGGGACACACATCTATTTCATGGGGGCACACACATCTGTGTTTCACGGAACATCTATTTCATGGGGGCACACACGTCTGTTTCACGGGACACGCACATCTATTTCATGGGGGCACACACGTCTGTGTTTCATGGGACACACACATCTGTTTCATGGGGGCACACGTCTGTGTTTCACGGGACGCACATCTATTTCATGGGGGTACACACGTCTGTGTTTCACGGGACACATCTATTTCATGTGGCACACACGTCTGTTTCACGGGACATGCACATCTATTTCATGTGGCACACGTCTTTCACGGGGCACATCTATTTCATGGGGGCACACGCATCTGTGTTTCACGAGACACACATCTATTTCATGGGGGCAAACACGTCTGTGTTTCACGGGACGCACATCTATTTCATGGAGGCACACATGTCTTTCACAGGACACACATCAATTTCATGGGGGCACACACGTCTGTTTCACGGGACACATCTATTTCTTGGGGGCACACACGCCTGTTTCACGGGACACATCTATTTCATGGGGGCGCACACGTCTGTGTTTCACGGGACACACATCTATTTCATGGGGGCGCACACATCTGTTTCACNACGGGACACACATCTATTTCATGGGGGCGCACACATCTGTTTCACGGGACACATCTATTTCATGGGGGCGCACACGTCTGTGTTTCACGGGACACGTCTATTTCATGTGGCACACACGTCTGTTTCATGGGACACATCTATTTCATGGGGGCAAACGTCTGTTTCACGGGATGCACATCTATTTCATGGGGGCACACATGTCTTTCACGGGACATACATCTATTTCATGGGGGCGCACACGTCTGTTTCACGGGACACATCTATTTCATGGGGGCGCACACGTCTGTGTTTCACGGGACACATCTATTTCATGTGGCACACGTCTGTTTCATGGGACACACACATCTATTTCATGGGGGCACACACGTCTGTTTCACGGGACAAACATCTATTTCATGGGGACACATACGTCTGTGTTTCACAGGACACATCTATTTCATGGGGGCACACACGTCTGTTTCACAGGATACACACACAATCTATTTCGTGGGGGCACACATGTCTGTTTCACGGGACATCTATTTCATGGGGACACATACGTCTGTGTTTCACGGGACACATATCTATTTCATGGGGGCACACACGTCTTTCACGGGATACACAATCTATTTCATGGGGGCACACGTATGTTTCGCGGGACACACATCTATTTCATGGGGGCACACACGTCTGTGTTTCACGGGACACACACACATCTATTTCATGGGGGCACACACGTCTGTTTCACGGGACACATTTATTTCATGGGGGCACACCCGTCTGTGTTTCACGGGACACACATCTATTTCATGGGGGCACACACGTCTGTTTCATGGGACACATCTATTTCGTGGGGGCACACATCTGTGCTTCACAGGACACACATCTATTTCATGGGGGCACACACATCTGTTTCACGGGACATCTATTTCACGGGGGCACACATGTCTGTGTTTCACGGGACACACATCTATTTCATGGGGGCACACACGTCTGTTTCACGGGACACAATCTATTTCATGGGGGCACACGTATGTTTCATGGAACACATCTATTTCATGGGGGCACACATGTCTGTGTTTCACGGGACACACATCTATTTCATGGGGGCACACACATCTGTGTTTCACGGGACACACATCTATTTCATGGGGGCACACACATCTGTTTCACGGGACACACACATCTATTTCATGGGGGCACACACGTCTTTCACGGGACACACATCTATTTCATGGGGGCACACACGTCTGTTTCACGGGACACACGTCTATTTCATGGGGGCACACACGTCTGTGTTTCACGGGACACACATATCTATTTCATGGGGGCACACACGTCTGTGTTTCACGGGGCAGTGTCTGTCATTGCCTGTGTGTGTATGTTGCCATTACAGATTCCCGCACTCACCCGGGCCCACACACGGAGTACAGATTGTGAGTCCTGTATTCGTTGAGTCCTGTAAGCCTGCACCTACCCTGATGCATTTTTACAAGAAGTTCCATCCCAGTAGCACTGTTTTGCAAGTGCCCACAGAATTCAATTGCAGGGGACTGACTCCTGTTAGCCTGACTCACAAGAGACTGACTTAGGAAGTATGGAAACTAATACGCACCAAGTGTACCCTCTAACAGCCCTGCAAGCACTGGGCCACGTTAAATCTCAGGTCCTTTGGCTGCAGTTGCCGCCTCTGTTTCCAGTACCAGGAACACAGGTGGGGAGGGTGGCATCCTGGGTCAGCAAGCTGAAGGGCTTGAGCGGGTCTGTCTGGGCAGCCTGCCCAGGCTCTGCACCGTGCACCCTGCCCTTCTCAGCCTGGACGAGCCCACGTTAGCCCAGGTGCCCCTGGCAAGTGGTCTGCCTGCTGAAGGCATCTGTTTACCCAGCCTGGACTTCCTTTTGTTAAGTTCTGGAAGACCAGACATATCCCGGCAGGCCCTCGGGGCAGCCCTCCTGCCAGATGTCACCAGGGCTGAGGCCTGCTGAAGAGGGGCCGTGGAAGACCTGTGCCCTGGAGGGTCGCCTGCCCTTGCCTCCCATCTCTAGCCTCTGCAGACAGGCCAGGCACACCCCCTTCACCGTGGTCCCATGTGTGCTGACTGGAAGATGGTGGCATCCCACATGGGTTCAGGTCTGTCACCCTTCCCCCTGCAGTGCCCCAGGCCACCAGCCCAGTTGGTTCTGGGGCCCCCGCCAGGGGCCTCTTCTGTGACCGCTGTGCCCTGGGGGCCAGTCCGTGCTGTGGTGAGCACACGGCTCACCTCTGTTCACAGTCAGATATTAAGTAGACCTGTGGATGTGTGTTTTGGTGTGCTCTCGAGCACACATGTCCGGTCGCTCTGGAAGTTTCTAAAGGCAGGGTGCAAGTCTGGTGTTTCTTTGGAATCTCAAGTACCTTGGACAGTTCTCGGTCTAGCAGAACTGGAATTAGAGGTTGGTCTGGGACCAGGTAGACTTTGAGGATAGGGCTCTAGAGTCGCCTCCTTCTAGAAGTCAGCACCGGCCTCCCCAGCATGAGTCCCATGTGGAACTCACACCCTGCAAGGTCCAGCCATCCAGGGGCCGTCTCTTCACCATTCTCTCCTCAACCTGCTGCAGCAGGTGGCTGTGCGTGTCCCTGCCTGGGCCCTGGGCGCTACTGTGAGCGTGGGTGACAGGCAGGCTCTCCTGCCCACCTGGCCTCTGCGTTCGTCCATGTCCTCCGGGCCTGGCCAGTCGAGGGGTCTTGGCAAACGTGGGTATTTTTCTCAGGGACCGTCCCAGCCTTCTAGGGAAGTCTCCTTCTAGGGAATCGGTGGTTCTGCCGCCACCCAGGGGCAGCCTGCCGGCGGGTGGCCACCTGCCCCTGGGCGTGCTCTGATCTGGGCCCCTCTGCTCTGCCCCAGGCCTCGTGTATGACACGCTGATGCTGAAGCACCAGTGCACCTGCGGGAGCAGTAGCAGCCACCCCGAGCACGCCGGGAGGATCCAGAGCATCTGGTCCCGCCTGCAGGAGACTGGCCTCCGCGGCAAATGCGAGGTAATGCCGGCGGGGCGGCTGGGCAGCTGCGGCTTTGGACACCACTAGAGGGGACCCACGGGGTCCCGCTTGATTCAGGGCGTCGGCTGTGCAGGTGGTGTTTTGTGCTATACAGACCTGAGGGAAGGGCCGTGAGCATCTTCACTGTCCGCAGCTTGGGCAGCCAGGCGGCTGCTGGGAGGCCCAGGGCCGTCTCTCCAGAGTCCTGTGCCCTCCCTGCAGGAAGCTGCTGCCTCTGTCCGTGCCCTTTTCTGACGTTTCCCTCCCACCTCCCACCTAGCAGCCTCTTCCCGAGGTCCAGGGCTGTGGCTGTCTGCCTCCGGGTCACTTCCCCGAGGAAGCCAGTTCCTGTCACGTTCCTCCTGGGCTGCCAGGAAAGGACCGTGGGAAGATCTGATTACATCTCAGATCAGGCCTGCTGGCTTTTGTTAAATTCTCTTTTTTTTAAATCTCTTTGAGAACATAGGGAGACCTCAGGCCCTTGGGACCATCCTCAGAGTTAAGGTGCCGGCAAGGCAGTGGGTGGTGGTGGGGCAGAGCTGCAGGCAGGCCCTGGCCTGGTTTCCATTCAGCTCCCTTACGCGGCTCAGTCCCGAGAGGGGGTCTCGGGTGCAGCAGCTCTGGCTGGCCCTCGGTTTCCCTGGCTGCCAGCCGGCGGCCGCGCTCGTTCTCATACAAGGAGGGCCAAGCCCCACCTGCTGATAGGAACCGGAGCCTTGCCCGAACCTGGCTGCGGTGGACTCCCAGGCCCCAGGAGGTGGAAAGGATCGGCCAAGTAATGCTTGAGGCTGGGACAGAAGCCTCACTTGGGTCAGGCCGTTGTCACAAGGGATCTTGCGCTTCCCAGGGGGAGGAGGGTGTGGCCAGGCCCTGCGGATAGTGAGGCAGGAAGAGAAGGGACTTCCGTCTGGAAGCTGGTGGCCTTGGAGAAATTTCCGTTTCCTTGTCTGTAGAGAGGGGCGGGCCACACTCGCAGGGTCTCACAATGCCCCACCCACGCCGGGACCCCTCCCCACACCAGGCATCCGGCCACGCTGCAGAGAGCTCCCAGAGTGGGCAGGAACCACCTCTCCAACAGCTCAGGGCCCGAGTGGCCATGGCAGAGATGACTGAGCTGGAGAGCTGGCGTGGCAGCCTTGCTGCAGATGCACAGTTTCTGTAGGTTTCCACTCTGCAGGTCTGCCTGTCCCTCCATTAGAAACTGGCGTATTTGAGAGCTTGAGTCAATCCATGGCTCATCTTAACTCTCATTTCCTTTGCCAGTTTTATTGGTGATACGTGAGCTTCAGCGGGGAGGGCTCCAAGCCAGGCCCAGGACCTTCCCCTGCAGCGCCCTCTGGGGGCGGGGCCGCTGCACAGGCTCTTGGCACCTGCTTCAGGAAGCCAGTCGGAATGGCCGTGCCACTGGAGGGCAGCATTGCACAGCGGACACTGGCTGTGGGAAAGCCCTCCTTCCCCACCTCCGTTCCCTCCACAGGACCAGCAGCCGTCCTGCTCCCCCTTCCAGGGGCTGCCCGAGGCTTCCTGAGGCCCCCACAGCTCCACTACCTGCTTCCTTTTCCTCCCCTACATGTGCCTCCACCCCCAGGGGCGTCCACTGAGGCCAGGGCGTTGAGAGAGGGTCTGTCAGCCAGAAAAGCAAAAGCAAGCAAGGGAGTCGTGAGAAAAGAGCCCAGGAGAAACAGCCCACTCATCCGCCTGCCCTTGGCACCTTGGGTGGAGGCAGGAGAGGCTGTGGGTGGTGGTGCCAGCCACAACTGGACCAAGGGCTAGCAGAGGGTCCCCAGGGGTCGGGGCTGTGGGACAAGCCCTGAGACTGGCAGGATCCGAGGGGAAGAAGAGCTGGGGGAGACAGGTGGCTGGGAGACAGCCACGGAGGCCACACCCCCTGGACAGTAGCCCCTTGTTCCCACAGGTGGGGTAGTTCTGCACTGCAGGTAGCCTCCAGGCTCAGAGCGAGCGATGTGCTCACTCAGCCCAGAGGGCGCAAGGTCACCCTACATGCAGGCCTGCCAGGGGTCACTGGCCTCCTGAGATGGCTGAGCAGAGGGGCTGTGGTTAGGGGTCACAGATTGTTAGAGTGAGTACCTGATAGGAGAAGATGGGGTGGACAGGGCTGTGACTTCCTGAGTCTGCAGACCACATAGAGGCCACAAGACTGAAGCCCAGGCCTGAGGGCGGGACCTCGAAGTCAGCAGCCTCCCTCTGCGTGGACGATGGGTTGGAGTGCCCTCGAGCTACTCTGTTGGCTTTGTGTGGTGAGGAAGGACGGGAGTGAGATAGGAGATCTTTTCTGCAAGCTTGGGACCCTGTCAGTGCTGGCAGGCTGGGCCAGCGAGAGGTGGCCCCAGGTCCAGCTGCCTTGCTCCCTGCCTCACTCCAGAGCTGCCGGGCAGGCCTTGGGAAGCTGCCTCACTCATTCTGAGCAGGTGCAGGTCCTCTGAGAACAGCCATGTGCTTGTATGGGTCCCGCCCTCTGCAGAGGCTTCCTGGTGGCCAGAGCAGCTCCTGGCCAAATCGCGTGCCCAGCTGGGTTTCTCCTGCCTCCAGGCATGGCGTCCAGGAAGGAGAGAAGGGGGTGGGCTGCAGGTCAGATTCCGCAGAGATCAGGGCCACGACGGGGGGGTCACCCTGCCCCAAACCTGTGTTTGCTGTAAGGAGCAGACTCCTAATGTCTTACGCTAGGAATTGAAGGGTGACAGAAATGAGGTCAGCCTTCCAACAAAGCAGGAAGGGGTCACCATCCTCCAGGCGCTCTGGAAGAGTCTGAAGTGCCTGTGTGCCGTCTGAGCCATCACAGTGTCACAGAGCTTTTGGTGGTTCGGTCCTGTGTCTTTTCTGTCTCCGTTTCATGTGTTTGTAAGGAGGGGGATTTTCTATTTCTCTTCTTTGCCTTATTCTAACATTGACTTTAATTTGTGACTTGAATCTGTGGTCTAACGTCAAGTCTCTCTTGCTGCAATTCCAGCTCTTATCTAGTGGGTAACTTTTGAGTGCGGAGGACACATGGCTGCCGGGGCCCTGCCATTCTTTCACCTGAAGTCCACGCTGCATGCTGCCTCTTGGCACCCTAGAGCACAACCAGGGGTCCCCCACAGGGGCCTTCCCGAGCGTGGGCTGCCCAGGCCATCTGTCCAGATGGAACTTGGCCCTGGCCACAGCTGCCTGTGGCTGTACACACAGCGGGGCTTCCAGAAATCATTAGAAATGAGAAGCCCCGGCTGGGTGTGGTGGCTCATGCCTATAGTCCCAGCACTTTGGAAGGCCGAGGCGGGCAGATCACCTGAGGTCAGGAGTTCAAGACCAGCCTGATCAACATGGCAAAACTCCATGTCTGCTAAAAATACAAAAATTACCCAGGCATGATATGGGTCGCCTGTAATCCCAGCTACTTGGGAGGCTGAGGCAGAAGAATACCTTGAACCGGGAGGTAGAGGTTGCAGTGAGCCGAGATAGTGCCATTGCACTCCAGCCTGAGCAACAAGAGTAAAACCCTGTGAAACTCCATCTCAAAAAAAAAAAAAAAAACAAAAAAAAAAAAGAAATCAGAACCCCCAGCAGCTGCCCAGGGCCCCAGCTGACCCCTAGCTAGGGAATACGTCCCTCCCGCCTGGCTTCCCAGGGACACTTGGCTTATGTCCCCAAAGTGGAAGCAGCACTAGGCTTAGGTGCATGGGACCATAGAGCTGTTTCTACTGTGGGAAGGTGGCATCACATCTTTCCTTTTTAAACCAGGGACCTTTATCGAGAAAGCCCGGTCCTGTGGAAAGGGACCCCCTCCCAGAGCATACCTCCCCTGCCTGGGGCACCTGCCCTCTGGGGGCTCCACCCCTGTGGTCAGGGTCTGAGCTCTCCTGGCTCCACCCCTTCCTCCTGCACCCTGCATGGACAGGACCCACAGCTACAGTGCGTCCTACAGGAAGGCCGTGTGCTAGGGCTCCGGTGGCCTGAGAGCAGCCCCAGGTGCTGGGCTGACGCAGAGCCCAGAGCTTCGCCCAACACAGGTCTCACACACGGGGTGGACACTGAAGCCTGCGGGAGGTCCGTGGATGCTGGGGCCGGGCTGCAGTCAGGAGGGAGAGAGTAGATCCTGCTCCTGCCTGGGGGGAGCAGGTGACAGTCACCACCGGGGCTGCCTGGCTGGCATGTGACTCGCCCTGTGGCGGCCTAGCCCTCTGACAGCCATTTCCGTGGGAAATGTGAAGTCAAATCTCCTGTCCGAGGCCGTCATCCATTTAAAAGATTAAACAAATGTAGCTCAACTGAAAAACAGAAACTTTCCTGTGAGTTGCTGGAGAAAATCCGAATTAGCCCAGGTTTCTCAATCTGAGGAATTCCCAAACCACAGAGAAACGCAGCCGGACGCCAGCTAGCCATCAGGGCAGGTGCCAGAGCCTGGCGGCTGGTGGCCCTGGGGCGGTCCGAGAGACTCCGGGAGCTGGGCTGGGGTTCCCCTGAGTGTGGGGAAGCGTGGCAGCTCACACCGCCTTTGGCAGCTCACCTCTATTTTAAGACCAGACCCTGGCAGTTGGAAAGCAAAGTAATAATTTGATGCCAAATCATTTGTGCGACAGTGAAGGGTAATGCGTTGAAGGCTGGAATTATCTTTTAAAATGTTTTTTCAAAGCTGTAATTAAGTGTAAGCCCTCTAAAATATTTCTTAAATATTTAAAAATACCGCGTTGGGTGACTCTGCGATAACCAGATAACGTGCTTGTTTGTGTTTCAAATCATGTTTCCTTTTGGGCGATGGTTTCCTGGGAGTTTCTGTCCGGAAGCGGAAGCAGCTTCCACAGAATGTGTGAGCGTCCTCTCACCTGTCCCCACAGTGCATCCGTGGACGCAAGGCCACCCTGGAGGAGCTGCAGACCGTGCACTCGGAAGCCCACACCCTCCTGTACGGCACGAACCCCCTCAACCGGCAGAAACTGGACAGTAAGAAACTTCTAGGTATTGGAGGCCCTTCCTTTCCTCCCGTATTGGGTTTGCAGCCCCCGAGGTTGTGTGTCCAGCTCGACCCCTCTGTCTGGGGCGCCTGTGGGTGTCACCTGCCAGGTTATAAGGTAAAGGGTCTGGAAGGGAACACTTAACCCTCCGTTCACAAGCCACTGGTGACGCATGTGCCAGGTAGCACGTGTGTTTGTGTAGAAACTGGGCAGAGAGCTCCTGGTTTAGAAGAATCTTGAGTCAAATCAGGGTTTGCTCAAGCGGCTAATGAGGGATAGATACCCCAACACACTGCCCGCCCCTGCCCTGCTGGAGCCTGCAGCTGTGTTTTGAGTTCCACTTTCAGGCCTATCAGGACAAGACCAAGAGGAGGCCTCGGGGTGTCCACTGCTAGGGGTGAAACGCTCTGACTGGAAGCACCTTGCATGGGTGATAGAGAGGAATTTTGGCCTCAAGGAGAGAACTTTCTAACAGGCATCCTCTGCCTAGGGAGCTGGTGAGAGACTTTACACAGGGATCTCGAGCAGAGGCAGGTGAACTCCCAGCCAGCTCCACAGGGCTTCAGGGCTCCCAGGACACACAGCACAGACCCGGGGATGGGAGGTCCCGGGACGCACAGCACACAGACCCGGGGATGGGAGGTCCCGGGACACACAGAGCACAGACCCGGGGATGGGAGGTCCCGGGACACACAG